AACTGCAGGAGGAGTAGCATTTTGAAAAAATTGTTTACAGACAGACGGACAGACAGACAGGCAAATATACTACAAAATGAAGTATGCATCATTTAGAATTGTAAAAACATCAGCTTCATCTACTTCATTCGACATATTTTTCATAATTTGATAATTATATACATGTACTAGTTTTCAAAAATGATTCTTAAATAATCATGCCACAGTAATGTATTTAAGTAAAACTGATAACAAATAAAAGATGAATGAACCTTTTCTCAAAATAATAATTATATTATTCAATATATTGCATTCATTTGTATTCTTTGTGTTTAATATACTTAAAAATAAATTGTCAATCTCTCTTTATCGAAATTTGGAGAAGCGAAGCAGATTAAAAATACAAATGAAGTGAAAATTATGAATTTATTTCTCGATACGTATATCTGAAACGTTAACAGTGACATGTGTTAAGCTGTATCAAATCTAAAATACAAAGTTGGGAATACTTTAATATATTTTATTTTATGATGAGTTGATAAGTATTAAAATCATTGTATCAAATTAAAAGGAATTTAATTGCTTGTTTGGTTCTGTATTTTTAGTAAAAAAATTGTTCTTTTAAAAGGACTTGAATATCATTTTATTTATCACTTTGTTTGTATCTCTTTCTTATAACTATCTGTCTCTTTAGACATCCGGGGCTTAACGACGTTCCCTTGACCACAGGTACTTGTGGACAGGAACCCCCCCCCCCCCCGATATTCAACCCCGGGGCTTATTGAACTTTTTTTTTTAAAATTATATTTATTACACTTATTCATCATGTGTACAATATGAAAAAATCGTCAAAACTCCAAAACAATCGCTCCACAAAAAAAAATACCCCACTGTAAATTCTAAGGGAGAAAGGTATGCCACTCTGGTTTCAAATTTCCCTAAGTAAAAGCAACGGAAGTGCATAGAGAATATATGATAAAACCCGAGAGAGATTATTACGTCATACAAAACTCTCTCGGACGTTATCCTAATAATTAAAACATTCTCTATGCAGTTAACTAGGGAAATTTCAACGTTCTGACTGGAAAACTGTTTAAGGAGATAATCAGATATTGTGGGATGCTTACGATATGCAGATTACCAATAGAATGAACTAAGACAGAAATATACAAATACAAATACAAATATTTTATTGGCACATACACAATTACAGTAATTGGTAAAGGCCCATAGAAAACATAGTGATAAGTATGAAAATACAGTAGAACACAACCAGGATACAAACAATTGGTGTAGCAAATTATGTATTGTAATTATCAAATACTAAATACATACATATGATTCAGTACAATATAGTTACTCATTTACAGACCCTGAGACGTGCTACTACCCCAAAAAAGCGTGTGACTTTCGTGCGCTTTCCGTTTCGTGCAAACCGTGTAGCGTTTCGTGTAAACCGTGTAGCGTTTCGTGCAAACCGTGTAGCGTTTCGTGTAAACCGTGCAGCGTTTCGTGTAAGCCCCAAAGCGTTTCGTGCAAACCGTGTAGCGAGCGTGTGAAAAGCGTGTGAGAAACGTGCGACTTTCGTGTAAGAACCGTGTGAGAAACGTGCGACTTTCGTGCAAGAATCGTGTAAGATTCATTCGGAAGTCATTTCATTTTAAATCTGGCCGTTGATGGGTCAGGATGTAAAATTCTATTTGTCTTTTATTATTGAATTAGTTATGCTTGTGATATTATAGGAGTTAAAAACAAAAAAAATGGAAAAACAAAATGAAATAAAACGGTAATGTATAATTTATATTTGTTTGATTTCTTTTCCTTCTGAAGAAAATGTGTTCAAATTAATCAACTATGTACAACAATTTTAAGGGCATTAAATTCAATATACTATCAACGCGATCATGGCTTCTTAAATATTTTTTTCTCGAAGAAAGACAGAAATACCGGTATTATTTTTTTTTTAATTTAAAGCAAAATATATCAGGACTCCGCCGTTGTCTTTACATTTGAAACGATGTGTTATTTAATACTTTTTAATACATATAACTTGCTGCTCATTATTTACAAATAAGTGGATTTTATAATTTTAATACACATGCACTGACGATCACATCTTTATAAACGAAAGGAGTGGGGGGGGGGTGTTTAAATTAAATTTTTAGAACAGTCTTTCATTTTTTGCTGTAACTTTCAATCTAATGTTAGTTTCAGCAAACGCTTAATTTTCTATTCTTTTTAAAATCCTTTGTTAAATGTGTGCGCAGATACACCCCTTCAAATTGTATTGGAATCTTCTTTCCGCGTTTCATCTGTGATCAAGGTCATTTACACCAGCGATCACGGGCTCCGAGTGCATGGCACATGAAAACCGGTTTGGTATATGTTCATGATGAGTTCACGGCTTAACGACACCTGAAAATTACGACTGGATTTTATTTTTTTTTCAATAAGATGGTTCTATAAATATTTAATGGTTACAACTTATAAATCAGCGGATTTCATTTTTTATTTGTACATATACATCCTAATTTCTAGCCGTAAACAGTAAAATAAACAGAATTGATTTGGTAGTCTTTTCATGGATATCATGTAAGAAAAGCTTAGGAGAAAATCATAAATAATTGTACATTATTTGTTTTAATTTATAAATCACGTACTTTTTATTTCATCTAAGATATTTCAGTTTTCTTGTAATATACCTGAATGCCGGTGTAAAGATCGATCTATCACTGATAGAAATACTTAGTTGATTTAACTAGTGTGCCTAGTAGCTCCTATTGATAATGGTTGCGTAAAATAAAAAAAATCTTTAAAAATGTATCAATAATCGTTAGTACAGTATATAGGCAAATTTTATAACTAATTTAAAATCAAAATCACGAAAAATAAATGTAATCCGCCTACGGAAATCAAACTCAATATTATTAAAAATCAATGAGTTTATATTCCTGCGGTAAGAAATCGAATTTGTGTTTAATTTATTAAATTATACGCGTAAAAATATTACATTGAAATGAATGACTAATACCTGTATAAAAATTGTATTTTATTAAACAGTCATTCATGATATCGGCATTTCATTTTTAAACAGTTGGATAAATAAATAAATTCGAACTGACAATTATTTATCAATTAATTACAACTGTCAGAGTATCAAATATTTCTATCGGTTTATATAATACAAATGTATAGTGAAATTTAATTTAAACAGCTGCTTAATGTGGCTTTGTGAAAGATTTCCATTGAAATAATGATAAAACAGTAAAAATGCCCGAGATATTCCGAGTAGAAAAATCCAAACCGAGGCCAAAACGTGCGAGAATCGTGCACAAAGCGTGTGAGAAACGTGTACAAAGCGTTTCGTGCAGCCTTTCGTGTAAACCGTGCAGCCTTTCGAGCAAAGCGTTTCGTGTAAACCGTGTAGCGTTTCGTGCAAATCGTGTAGCGTTTCGTGTAAACCGTGCAGCGTTTCGTGCAAACCGTGTAGCGTTCGTGTACCGTTCGTGCAGCGAGCGTGTGGGGTAGTAGCACGTCTCAGGGTCTGTATGACTAAAGTATTTATTCTTATATCAGATATTTGACATAAAAATGATGATAATATTTTAAGAACCTTTTTACAACTAGTATTCATCAATACTTTTAACAATTTGTCATTATTATCAATTGTTTGTTTAAAGCTAGGGAAAGTGGATAATTTTGTTTTGAATATTTTTCTCTGTGCTTCGTATTTTGGACATAGCAAAATGAAGTGTTTTTCATCCTCAATATCAAAGTTTTGACATACTTTACATATCCTATCATTTTTATTAGTTTCAACATATCACGCAGAGACGATGTGAATCGACATTTTAGGTTAAAATAAAATAAATACATGTTTTTTAAACCTTAAGACCATTGGGGGTACAACGTAAACAAACCGGAGTGGCATACCTTTCTCTCTTATAATGTATAGTGGGTATATTTTTTGTAGAGCGATTGTTTTGGGAATTTGACAATTTTTTCATATTGTACACATGATGAGTAAGTGTAATAAATATAATTTTTTTTAAAAATCCAATAAGCTCAAGGGGTTCAATATTTGGGGGGGGGGGTTGTCCTGTCCACAAGTACCTGTGCCCTTGACTAGATAGAAAACACAGTAAAACTTCAATAATAACCATTTATATAGCACAAGGGTATATATAAAAATTTAAATAAGTGATATCTCATTGTTCAGGAAAGGTGGATGTGTGTTTCTCTTAGATATTGCAAGCGAATTCTAAATTTTATATCATTAAGGGTTGCAACTGCAACGCTTAATGATACATAAGTGTGTATCATTAAGCGTCGAATATGTCGATATTTGCTTGTTTCATTAAGCGTCGATGTTGCAATGCATTTGTGACGCTTAATGATATAATTCTATCATTAAGTGGCGATTAAGCATTAGCGGTTGGTGATGTCAGCTATTAATGCAATAATTTATGGCATTAAGCGTTGCAATTGCAACGCTTAATGCTATTTCTATCATTAAGCGGCGTTTTATCATTAGAGGTTGCTACAATGCATAGCTTAAATATGTATTTCCAAGATCAATTGCCACAGCAAATACGTCACTCTCTGGCAATGGTTTTAAATCGATACCTGTGTAAAAAAAAATTGTTTATTTGCAAATAAAAGAGATCAAATAAAGAAACATCATAAATTGAAAATCTAAATAAAGTCCAACATGTAATTCAACTGTAATCTGTTCTTAAATGACTTCTTTTCAAAGCCATACTATTGGAGTTTTATGAAGAGACTTACTTTTACAATCGACGACTGACTTTTACAATTTAAACAGTGACTTACTCCATCACTAAAATGTAAAAGTCAGCTTTCGAATGTAAAAGTAAGTCTCTTCATATAACTCTATTATCTTATTTTATCATATTTTATTTTAATTAATCATCTTTCTTTAAATAATTGTTAAATAAGTGACTAATGAAATACCTTCTGTGCTTTGTGCTTCTTGAACATCTCCAATATCTACAGATAAATCATTCCAAATTCAAGTCTAAACTTTGCATTAAGGGTTGAAAAAGAAGAATGTCAGTAAGCTTCCCTTTCATGTCGCCTTTTTTAACATCTTTTTTAAATTTCAGAAAACTTTCCCTGTTAGGAAACTCTAACTCGATGTTAATGGAGCCCCGACTGCATCTGCCTTTTGTTATGTTATATGTTGACATCATTTTGCAAACAATATAATAATATTTCTTGAGCAAGTCTCCGTGTTGAGATGGGTCAGTCTCATTTTTCCATTTGTCTATCATTCTATCAGTCTTATCTACAACCTCTTGAATTTCCGGATAAGTGGATGGTTCAACATTTTGGGCAAGCGTTTCATACATTGACAAGTAATCCATGATCTTATCCTGATTTGAAAAGTCTCGAATTCCTTCCAAAAAGGAATTCAATGTTTTACAAACAATATCCAAAAAGAGGGTGCTAACTTCTTTCTTCGTTTTGTCCTTTGAATCTAGATCGACTTTCAAAGACGAGTAGACTGAGTTTGCTGAAAACAAGCAAAACAAAATCCTTTATTTTGGTTTTTAAAAAATGCATATTTTACAAATAGTTTACTATTGTAACAGGCAAATGACAAATCAAGGTCATGACATCTCATAAATCTGCCAAACCAAATAGTGAATACTCTAACAGAAACAAATATGAATGTACATTACATATAGTTATTTAAAATGATGAGGGGTAAAAATAAAATGTAAAAATGATATTTGGGAAATTACACAAGAAAACATCTTCATAAAATCATACAGACTAAATTGAGTTCTAAATAGAGTAAAGTCAAATAAGTTCCAATTATGAATTAATTCATATACTTCGAAAGAAGAAACTTACTTTTCACATGCAATGGAATTTGCTTGCTTCTTCCTAATCCGACTGGGTTGCAGACGATTAAGTGATATTTGGCAGTGTCTGCTGGCTTGGGGTCTTTAACCACCAGTTTCGGCTTTGACAGATCCTCGGAACTCCCTTTGTACTTCGGTAAAGTAATTTTAATATTTTCCACTTCATTATTGACCACCTTTTGCCATTTTACATACAGTGGGTCAGGAATACTGCATATTTCAGCAAGACATGAGAACTGTTGAGCAACTTTTACTTCCGTTATATGAGCAACAGGTAAGCCTGAAATCAAATTTGGCATCAAAAGAGTGATGTAAATTTTCCTGCAACTATTATATGCAGTAAAAAAATTTATAGTTTTTCCTTTTAAATAAATACTCAAATTACCTCCTTCAATATCAAGTTTAATTTCTTTGCTGTTTGTTGTGCCTTTATTATTCTTAACATTAAGTGTGTATATTCCATAGTCACTAAAATCTATGTCGTTGATCAATAAAGAAGGTTTCCGTGGGTGATCTTTGCTCCCTTGGTACTTCTGAGATTTTATATCTAATTTTATGGATTTCAAAGTTCTAATTTTAAACCACTGTGACGTTTCTGGCTTTGGATATGATTTCACCTTTCCTTGCAAAGTTGTGGACCCTCCAAATGAAATCTTTCTGCATGCTTCTCCCAAAATTTCACATTTAGGCTTTCCTTAGCAAATAATGAATCAAAGAGTCATGATTTCAAGCAAATTTCAAGACAATTTCATAACTGATTTTTATATCCGCAATAATGAATCTGAGAAAAATTTTAGCAGAGTGGAGTTATTTTGTCTAATAGCTTCATGGAGCATATATATTATATACAATATTATTAATACATGGGCAAAAGAATCGGACATTACATATAAGGTTCGGTTAACATATTCCTTCCACAGTAATGGATACACAGCTGCAGACAGACAGGCATCTATACATGATAATTTCATTTCTATTAACTTTCTACAGCTGCCTAACAAGAATGTCGAAGGACTACATAAGATACTTATATACCTTCTTTAATCTTTAGATATACTGTATTGCTTCTTGCCATCCCTGATTCATTTTTCACTATCAGATTATAATTAGCAACATCATCTGTGTCCATTTTGTTGATGACGAGTTGTGCATTTATTCCATTTTCAATGCTTCCACGATATTTTCGGGTAGAAATGTCAACATTTATGCCTTCTTTCTGCCAAACTGCTTGTAGAATTTCGTTTGGAGATTCAATATTGCTGGTAATTTCTGCAGTTTTAAGGTATCTCACTGATTCTGGTCCTCGAATTTCAATGACTGGGAGTGCTGAAATATGTTTTAAACGTGATCAAACATAGAATTCAAGATAAGAGATAAATGTTTTTTATTTTCTTAGTTTATTGCTTGTTTATTGCTTTTACTGTTTGTTCATTATCTGCTTTATTTGTTGATTCAATTTCTTACTGCTACGGTTGTTGCTTGATTTCTCTGTAAGCTTTTTCTCATACTCACTTAATTTCTCTGATTGTGATTTCAATTCCCTTTCTGTATTGTCTTTGATTGATTTAAGACTCTTTTTCAATGTACTTTGGTCTAGTTCTGAGGAATGAATATCATCGATTTGATGTGCTTGAACAAATGTGCTCAATCTTCGAATTGCCTTTAAAAATCAAAACAAAATGTAGGATATTCTTTTTGTTTTTACACACATGCTGTAATTAAAATGTAAAGAGATAGATATTATGACATACTCAAATCCATTTACGTCATATCAGTCCGAGTGGCCCCATATCAGAGGGGCACCATTAACTACCACAAGGAAATAAAAAAGGCAATTAAAGTTTTCTATTAAGAGTCACAAAATATGCTTTCTTCAGTATTTTATATATCGACAAAATTTCTGGGGCACCACCTACCCTCACAACTCCTGCGACTATGAAAGGAGTTTTCCACTTATGTATGGTAGCTTGGTCCCTTTTTCGCCCTTATTTTACACAATATACTTGGGGATATGGTATTATTTTTATTTTCATGGTGTATAACAATATATTTCTAACTGAAATGTTGTAGAGTCATTAATAATGACTTTGAGTATTAAGAAATATAGGCCAATTTTCAACACTTACAGTACATACAAATTCCAGAACATTTTCTTTCGAACAGAGTGCGGTTTCTCTATTACATACATTTAAATTAGGTACTATATAAAGGATGACATGGTGAGCTGTAGCGTGAAATAAGAAATAATTTAAGAAAATATACTCGTAGGCGTCGGAACCGGGGGGATGGGGCTAAGGGGGGGGGGGGCTTAGCCCCCGCCCCGTCCCACTTTTTTTCCAAATATATACTTAGTATAGACATTGAACATTGTTTCGTAGGTTTAGCCCCCCCCACTTTCCACAGACACGTCGCAGTGAAAGTGGTGGTGTTTGGAAAAAATTTTGGTACTGAAGTTCGAACCTAACCCCCCCCCCCACTACCCCACCAAATAGGATTTTCGTGTTTGGGACAGTTCCTTTTTTTTTTTTTGCTTGTCAGGTTTTTTTGAAGGTATAATTTTTTTTAGATTTAGCCCCCCCCCCTTTCAATCTGCTTCCGACGCCAATGATACTAGTATACGAATAATCTTCAAATGAATAAGCTTGAATTTTATTTTGCATTATTCGTATTATTCTTAACTTGGTGAGGGTGAGGGGTCTTCTTTTTGTTTTTGAGGTATTTTTGGTCGGAGTTTTGAAAATCCCCTAATCACGTTAATTTTTTTATCCATCATTGTTGAATAAAATGTCAAAATATTTTAACCATTATATTAATTTTCTTTTATATGATGAAAAAGTACAAGCGACCAAATAATAATTTACGGAAAATGCACACAGAAATACGCCTCCTTTCCTTTGTAAAGGGGGGGGGGTGAGAAAAAATAAACAAGAATAGATACTCGACCAAAAGATTGATAAAGCAAAAGAGAAAACCCTCCCAAACTTGAAAAAAAAAATGATTATGCAAGAGTGGGAGTCTAAATATTACTCATTTTGATTTGCAAAATTAAACATTAACATTAATGTGTGTTCATTTGTATCGTAAGAGCGTAAAAACGTTTTTTTTTTTTTTGAAGGGGGGGGGGGACTCAAGATTTTTCTCAACCACCCACCCCTTGATACTACATGCCTGTATGTATATTTATTTCTTAATTTCGCTCCAAATTCTGCAATGAATATTCCGATTTACTAATCATTTATTAATTAATACATGACGTGTACAAATACATGTAATATACATGTATATAAACACTTCAGAAACAGTTGTTCGAATAATAGAAGCATAATTATTATTTATGTCTGCTGTGAGAAAAATCAGCCTGATAAAAAAAATTTTAAAAATAGTAAAAAAAAAAAGAATACAGGTACTAGTATGCAGTGTCGTCGATTTTGTCATTCAATTGAATGACATAAGGTAAAATGTATTACAAATTATTAAGTGGGATTTATTATACTTCACAAGGATTTTCTCTTTTAATAAATATCACAAGATTAGTAAATGAAATTCAAACCAAATAGTCATTTTCTTCGTTGCGATAATACATTCGAAGTTTTTCCGACTTTATATGCACCCCAAAACGTAGCAAGGGTGTAAGATTGCTTTGAATATTGAAGTGGTCAGTATAGTGCATTTGTTTAGATTGAATAAATGTGAAAAAAAAATTGTTACGTCTTTGGCTTTTTTTGCTTGTTTGTTTGTTTTTTTTTTTTTTTTTTTTTTTTTGCAAGAAATGGATTACATATGTATTTATATACATCTAAATACTCATATATTGATTCGTGTGCTGTTTCCAATGCCCAGGAAAATTGCGATTACATTCATGAGAATTAAAATATGTCCCGGAAAATCATCAAAGTTTAACATAAGTGGTAGTCTATAGAAAACTTTGTTTTGAATTTTTAAAGAAATAAAAGCTTGTAACTGCACTTTTCAAATACGAGCTACATGTGTCGCTTCTTACAGAAAACACGCTTTCCAGAGGTATTCACCTGTATCGGTATGGAATCACGTGACATATTTTGCAATTATTTTATATTTTTAAACGTTGGCGCAAATAGTACAGAAATAAGAGAAAATAAATTTTACTTTTTAAGGACGTTCGATCCTGAGATTTTGAGCATATTTTGGTCAGGTCCTTTATCTATAAAATTCTGCATCATTTTTAAGTTCTAACATTAAATCTAAATTCTACAGTGCAAATTTAACTATATTTAATGAAAAAACTGCGATTAAATTCCCTTCAAGTACAATTAAGCTAGGGATTATATTTTGTGGCGGAAGGTTTTTTAGACGAAAATGATCAGTTTTTCATTTTGAACTTTAACAGTACTGTTAATTTTGGATTCCTATTTTCCCATCTTGGTTGCACACAAAGCTGTTTTTTGCAGTGAAATGTGTTATACTGGTTCTGAAATATCTATTAAATTATTTCTTATGAAATCTATCAACAAAGTGTGACAAATATAGTAAATATATTCTGAAAATCCGGGGGAAAATTGAGCCAACTTTAGCATTAAATTCACACTTTTTTAGTAATATCTGAAAATTTACATAATATACCCAAACTTTTGATGTTCTTTTCTAAATATTCAAGATAAATTTGACCTATTAGCTTAAAATCAGAAATAGTTTAAGACTTTAAAATAATTTTCTTGCTTATTAAATTTTAATGCCAGAAAAAGAACGTTTTATTAGTGCAGAAATAATTGATTATGCGAAGCAATTTGAAACTTTTTCTTAGACACACTTTTTAAGTGTCTTTTTTAAAACAAACTTAAAGTTCACTTTGTTTCATGCTTTAATTGGATAAAAATATTGGAGGGAAAACGTCAGAAATGTAATTTTTAATTAAGACACAAATTACAGTGCAAAAAGGTCATATTAAATGTATTGTTTCGCCAAAAGAAGCGTATTGACCCCCATTTTTTTATTTGAATTTTAATTAAGCTATGTAAGCAGAAACTAAAAATATACTTGGCAAAAAAAGTTTAAGACTTTAAATATCAGGATCGAAAGTCGTTAAGTGTCTTAATGAAAGTTTAAAATTTGACATGTAACCAGGGATCACAGATGATGCCTTATTGAGACTTGTTCTTTGGGACAAATATTTGATTGGACTGACTTAATTGTTTCATTAAATACCGACGACAAAACCAAGGACGATAATAAGAAATATTTTATTTAATTGTAATGGAAAGTCAAAATCGACATGTCAGCGCATGCGGGTTACTAAGAATCGTTTGACATTAATGTGACATAATATTTACTGACTACATTTAGTTAAGTATTATTGATTGTTATTAGCATCATTTCATTTTTTAACCATTAAATTAACTTCATGAGACAATGTTCTTAACTTATACATAATATTTTTTTAATAGAAAGATACGGAAGCCCATTAGTGCCAACCTGTATATATAAAGGAAAAGCAATATATAAAAGCAAACCTCGATATATAAAGGAAATGCGATATATATAAACAAAACCTGGATATATATAAAGGAAATGCAATATATAAAAACAAAACTTCGATATATATAAAGGAAATGCGATATATATAAACAAAACTTCGATATATATAAAGAGAAAAATTTCCACCGTCTAACCTTTAACATGTTTAATGACCTTCATAACAACAGAGACTTCGCCAACATACGATAAGCAGCTCCCGATCTAATGTTTTGATTGCGATCAGTTGGTGTGGCTGTTTCAGGATGGTATTCGGTGTGTTGTTATCTTGATAATTATGATGATTAAAACTGAAGCTAAAAAAACTGCTGTTCTTCTTCACGTGCCAAAATGATCTTGATTCTTTGAAAAAATCATGTACATGTACATTTATCTCTAATATTAATAGTGTTGTCTGTGTCTGCTCCACTGTATTACAGTACCGACCAGACCCAACCTGACACAAAGCAGTCCCAGAGCAGTCCCGGGGACTGCTTTCTGGGACTGCTAAAGCAGTCCCACAGCAGTCCCAGAGCAGTCCCACAGCGGTCCCAGAGCGGTCCCAGCAGTCCCAGCGGTCCCAGAGAGCAGTCCCAGCAGTCCCAGAAAGCAGTCCCAGTGGGCGGGGTTTATTAATTTAATGGGCGGAGCTAACTCAGAAATGAGATTTGCAATAAACAATGGAACTATAAAAGGCAGTAGAAATTGATTCTGGGTAGTATGCCAGGAATCCTTACATGTACGCGGAGGTCATTTATGAACAGTACGCGCATAGAAACAAATTGAATGATTATTTATTGAAGGAAGAAGGCTTTCACACGTACTGTACATGTATGAATTAAAATGAACATATATAAACATTTAATCACAATTATCGGGTATATTAAATTAATAATTTAATTTCTTTATTTTCTGTGATTTATATGGTTTCCTATTTATTTTTTTATACAGAAAATTAAACTTGAATTAATTATTTTCCACCAGTAAATAGATCTCATCATTATATGGCCAATTTCCATACTATCGGGATACTCAAAAGGAATTTAGCTTTTAGAAAATTCTTTGTTAATTTTGCCAAGTATTATTTTCTAGTCATGATTTTTTTTAATGACATGTCAATTTAATTATTGTTAATTTCTCTATCTCTATAATACTCGGTTTTAAGTGTTTTATTTGTAAATGTTAGAATGTACATCTCTAAATCACCAGGATGGAACTATCAGATTATGTTCAAAATTGATTAATGCTGAAAGAAATTCATACACATTTTATTTTTCAATTTGATTTTTGCATTATATACTGGTAGATTGAAATTAGGGTCATTGTTGACCAGCATTTTCAATGATGTGAAACGCTGATACATATACCCAAATAACATGCACTGATTTTCTGCCCTAAGGCGATTGAAACCGCCGGTGTTGATACCATGTAATAAACATTAATCGGTCAGGTACATGTAAACACAAACAAAAGAAAAAAGAAATAAATCACAATTCTCGGTATTTTCAACTCTTTATTTATAAAATAAATGTTCTCTTTTGATAACTTGTTTATAAATTAAAAACTACCAGTAATTCATTAATAAATTCCCCGATGATTGTTCAAAATGTTTGAGTTATGGAAGAATGGTAGCATAATTTCATTTCATGGTCATTTAATAAATTGTTTGGCTTTATTTTAGGGTTGCATGGGATACTTTTTTAGAGTGGTGCTCGTAAAACATGAAGCTTTTCAATTAAAAATCTTATATCTAACTGTATAATGATTATTTTTAAATAGTGCCAATGCAAATTTTTAGTGCACATAATTTTACATTAAATAATAAAATAGACCTACTGTACCTGAAGATATTTTTCTCATAAACCTGTAATTTTAGGGGGAAAAAAATCTACTTCTGACTTCCTTATTTATTAACTTAATTTATTTAAAAGATATATTCTAACTACATTTGTGTACAGTTGTAAATGTACAGACTCTGAAAATATTAATTATCTACATGTATAATTTTCTCTACTTATCAAAAGATTGTAAGAAATCCTTGCTTTCTTAATAATTTAAACTCCTCTCTGCTGTAAGTAAACAAAACAACTGGGGCCTGCAAATTCAGAATACACAAGGGGGCGGAGCTATCATGTCACTCAGAACTTCTTTCACACATAAGTGAACAAAGCAGTCCCAGAAAGCAGTCCCAGGGACAGCTTGGACTGCTGGGTCTGCTTTTTACAGCAGTCCCAGGGCAGTCCCAGAGCAGTCCCACAGCGGTCCCAGAGCAGTCCCACAGCAGTCCCAGAGCGGTCCCAAAGCAGTCCCGGGGACTGCTTTCTGGGACTGCTTGGGTGTCAGGTTGGGTCTGGTCGGTACTGTATATGTACATGTATATATGTGTTTTTTATGTTTCTGTACCTTGTGTACCATTTACAGTGTGTGAATGAATCAAATTGAATTGATTTACCTTCAAAGACTTCAAAGTTTCTTTTAATTAATTCCCAAATACTTGATTTTTTTCCCACACCATTAAAGACCCTAAAATTATTAAAGCATAATTTTAATTGTCAATTTCTTCCCTCACATTCAAATGAAGTGGGTACCTTCACCCTTCCCCTCTCTCCCATTCCGAACGATATTGATTCTTTTTTAACAATCAATGGGCATACTAGTTAATTATTTTTAAAATGAATTAAATAAATTTGAATTAGGGCATCAAAAAGAGACTTCCTGTTAAACATTATTTTCATAAATTCTCGGTCGTGAAACCAAAGGTAGTACGCCTAAGTTTTTTATAAAACAGTAAACAAGATACATGTAGCTCTAGGTTGAAAAAAGGAAATTGATCATGTACATGTAAAGCCAATAAATCCAATAAATGCACATAAATATACTTATTTCATTAATATACATGTATATACTAATGATTAAATCAAAGGCGGATCCAGGACCGGCGCCCCGGGCGTGCGCCCCCTCCGTTTAAAATATTTGTATATATAATTTATAGGTCCATTATCCTAAATTCCGTACAGCCACCAGAGCTCTCTGCCTTCTAATGCGCCCCCCCCCAATTACGAAATTTCTGGATCCGCCACTGTAAATGCTCTTCTTCTCAATTAATTGCATTAGTTTAAGTAATGTTACAATTACAGTCCATTGATATATGCATGTACAAACAAATAAACACTATTTCATAGCAACATTTTGCCGATTCTGGGAAAGTTATACATGAGTACTGTATAACTGATTTCCCCCCTGCCAGGAGTTAATCTGTATATAATCTTGATGGACAGCCGAGCGCTACAGGTCAGGCAGTGGAAAATTTTCTCTTTATATATATAGCATTTCTCTTTATATATATCGAGGTTTTGTTTATATATTTCGCATTTCCTTTATATATATCCAGGTTTTGTTTATATATATCGCATTTCCTTTATATATATCCAGGTTTTGTTTATATATATCGCATTTCCTTTATATATCGAGGTTTGCTTTTATATATTGCTTTTCCTTTATATATACAGGTTGGCACTAACGGGCTTCCGTAGAAAGAAATGTAAACAATTATATCAATACATGTTTTGGTATAACGTCAAATAAAGACACCGGTCACAGTAGGGCGTTGCTTTATAATTTGGTGGCTCGAGTTCGATTCTCCTTCTCAGCACCGCGTCAAAACGGAGAGACGTATGAAAAGGTTATTGACTGTTTCTTTGCGAAACGTACAGCATAAAATAATTGATTGGTTGTATTTTGTTTAGCGTTTCTCTCTAGAATTTTTCACACATATGGAGACGCCACCACTTGCCGGTGGAAAGCTACAAATTTTCTCCTATCCTTGGCACACAGGGCTATTGAGCACTGAAGGGATTTTTTCGTGCCAGCACCTACTGCGAAACGGGACCTCAATTTATACGGTCTCGTCGAAAAGGACCGGTGTTGCAACCACTGTTGAAAAAACGACTACTATTGAAATAATTATTTCAATAGTGGTTGAGGATGAATTTCAAACCAAACATTGGTTACACCACTATTACAATAACGTTCGCTATTGAAATAATTATTTATTTAGCGGTTTAGAATGTATTCCAAACTTAAACCCGGTTTCAACCACTACTTAAATAATGTTTGCTATTGAAATAAAGATTTCAATAGTGATTGAAATAAGGATTTCAAAAGGAATTAAAAAATATTATTGCAACCATTAACAATCTTTAAGTTATTTCTATAATGGCTGCACTTCCTGTAACTACTCTAGTAATAACAACCACTATAGAAATAATTATTTCATTAGTGGTCGTTAGTTCAATTGTGGTTGCAACAGACAGGTCTGCACGTCCCATAATTTGATTAGAACCCGCGACGTAAGGATTTACTCCTTACTTCGCGACTCTAGAACAGATGTTCTAACCACTGTGTCACGCAGGCGATGCCGGGCATAAAAAGTGACAGTCATGGGTCAATTTGGGTGAAACCTAAAAATCTATGTCCTTTGTCACAATAGGCAAAGGCACAATAATGTACCCTCACTGCTCAATGGCTTTGAGTTCCAAATATATATGCATGTAGATTTAATTTGGAAGCTTTTAAACAGTCTATGGTGATCTCTCTATATGAATGAAATAGTCTAGAATGAGGCGTAAAACTACATAATCAGTTTATATTTCAATCAGAGTATCCTATCGCAGGGGGATATATCGATGTAAATTGTTACTTCCGTTATGCAAGGAATGAGAATGAGAAACTACAGCATCGACGTTCTAGACAAAAGCGAAGCAAGATTGAATCAAAGTGGAAAGATAACACTGAGTACAGGAGAAGAAGTTCTTTATTCTGGCAATGAGAACGAAAATGATCATCATACAAAAGAAGTGGCGATAATACTGTCCAAGAAAGCAAAGTACAGTGTCATGGAAAGGGAACCTGTCAATGAAAGAATAATGTGGGCGCGATTTAAAGCTACTAAATGCCAAAACTTTACCATCATTCAGTGCTATCCACCAACCAATCAGGCTGAGAAAGAGGTTATTAAAACTTCTATGAAAAACTACAGCAAACTTGATAGGAGGAAATCACCCGACGGCAAAACAAAGAACCAAATCGACCACATTATGATAAGTCAAAGATGGAGAAGTTCGTTGCAGGATGTAAGAGCTATACGAGAGGAGCAGATGTTAACTGAAAGAAAAAGTTAACAACGCTAAAACAAGAGCACAAAAAGAGTGATGCTCATGCCAAACACCAAACTTTAGATAAGAAAATTAAAACATCTTGCAGGAATGACAAAAGAGAGTACGTTAACTAACTTGCAACAGAAGCAGAAAGAGCTGCCTACATGGGAGATATGAAGACTCTCTACAACATCACCAAAACATTAAATACGCGTAAAACATGCAAGTCTAAACCGGTCAAAGACAAAGATGGTATAAAATCCTAAACAAACTAAATGAACAAATGGAAATGTGAAATGAACACTTGATTGGGGTCTTGAATAGGCCAGAACCAGACAAACCGGTAACCTTACCACCAGGGGAAGACCTTAATATAAAGGTTGACAATATAAAGAAACAGGAAATCAAGAAAGCCTTAAAATCAATGAGGAATGGTTAAGCGGCTGGAGTAGATGGTAGACCACCAGAGGCGTTGCACTATAGAGACGAGATAAGTTAATACCTGCTTAAATTATTAACAAGAGGCCCATGGGCCACATCGCTCACCTGAGCACTGTGGCTAGGAAAAAGTAGAAATTGGTTTATAATTGAAAAGTTTTAATCCAAAAGTAGTCCCATGACAAATCATGACTTTGCTACTAGTATATCCTTGAAAAGAAGATTTTTAAAGAATTTTCCTATATATTACTATGTAAAACTTTGGTGGGCCATTGTGGCCCTGCCCTACCCCCGGGGGTCATGATTTGAACAAACTCGAATCTACAATACCTGAGGATGCTTCCATATAAATATGATCAATTATGGCTTTGCTATTCTTAAGAAGAAGATTTTTAAAGAATTTTCCTATATATTTCTATGTAAAACTTTAGTCGGCCATTGTGGCCCCGCCCTACCCCCGGGGGGTCATGATTTGAACAAACTTGAATCTACACTACCCGAGGATGCTTACATATAAATATGATCAATTATGGCTTTGCTAATCTTAAGAAGAAGATTTTTAAAGAATTTTACTATATATTACTATGTAAAACTTTGGTGGGCCATTGTGGCCCCGCCCTACCCCCGGGAGTCATGATTTGAACAAATTTGAATCTACACTATCTGACGATGCTTCCATATAAATATGATCAATTATGGCTTTGCTATTCTTGAGAAGAAGATTTTTAAAGAATTTTCCTATATATTTCTATGTAAAACTTTGGTCGGCCATTGTGGTCCCGCCCTATCCTCGGGGGTCATGATTTGAACAATTTGAATCTACACTACCTGAGGATGCTTCCATATAAATATGATCAATTATGGCTTTGCTATTCTTGAGAAGATTTTTAAAGAATTTTCCTATATATTTCTATGTAAAACTTTAGTCGGCCATTGTGGCCCCGCCCTACCCCCGGGGGGTCATGATTTGAACAAACTTGAATCTACACTACCCGAGGATGCTTACATATAAATATGACCAATTATGGCTTTGCTAATCTTAAGAAGAAGATTTTTAAAGAATTTTACTATGTATTACTATGTAAAACTTTGGTGGGCCATTGTGGCCCCGCCCTACCCCCGAGGGTCATGATTTGAACAAACTCGAATCTACAATACCTGAGGATGCTTCCATATAAATATGATCAATTATGGCTTTGCTATTCTTGAGAAGAAGATTTTTATAGAATTTTCCTATATATTTCTATGTAAAACTTTGGTCGGCCACTGTGGCCCCGCCCTACCCCCGGGGGTCATGATTTGAACAAACTTGAATCTACACTATCTGAGGATGTTTCCCCATAGGTTTCATCTTTCCTGGCACAGTGGTTCTTGAGAAGAAGATTTTTAAAACATACCACCAAATTTTTATTAATTCCCAATTATCTCCCCTTGTATGAGGGCGTGGCCCTTCATTTGAACAAACTTGAATCCCCTTTACCCAAGGATGCTTTGTGGCAAGTTTGGTTGAAATTGGCCCAGCGGTTCTTGAGAAGAAGTCGAAAATGTGAAAAGTTTACAGACAGACAGACAGACGGACAGACAGACGGACGCCGGACAAAATGTGATCAGAAAAGCTCACTTGATCCTTCGGCTCAGTTGCGCTAAAAAGATCTGGGAGGCTGAGAGAATACCAACAGAATGGAAACAAGGGGACCTAAGCTAGCAAGATCCTCTGTACAGTAATAAAGATGCGGTGGATGAAGTTTTACGGGATGAACAGGCAGGCTTTAGATCCAATAGAAGTTGTACTGACCAAATTGCAGCTCTAAGAATTATCGTGGAGCAATCATCTTTGTATATAAATTTTATCGACCTTGAAAAGGCATTTGACAGTGTCAACAGAGATGGAATGTGGTAACTGCTAAGACACTGTGGAAGACCTTATATGAAGAATTCTCAGTGCAAGTGATACACGAAACATCCCTCACAGATTCCTTTAAAGTCAAAGCTGGAGTGAATCAAGGCTGCTTACTCTCGCCCACTCTGTTCCCAGCAGTGATAGACTGGATCACAAAGCAGGCATTCGACAGGCCGAGGGAAATACAATGGACAGTGGTCAGAAGATTGGAGACCTGGATTTTCCCGATGACCTTGTCCCACCAAATAAAAAGACATCAGAGAAAAGACCAACAAGCTAAATGAAACTGGAAAGAAGATAGGACTAAATTTAATAAGAAAACAAAAGTTATGAAAGTCAAGACTAAAAAAGGTGGACCAATCACAGTTGCGGGGGAAAAACTGGAAGAGGTGGAACAATTTACTTACTTAGGGTCCATCAATAGTAATAGAGGTGGTTAAGATGAAGAAATTAAAGCCAGAATAAGCAAAGCCCAACAAGCCTTCGCAATGCTCAAACCTGTCTGGAGTTCCAGTACACTAAGTAAAAGTACAAAGATTAGAATATTTAATACCAATGTTAAATCAGTGCATTTCCGTACGGATGTGAATCCTGGAGACTAACAGCAAGACTAAACCAAAAAATCCGGATATTTACCAACAAATGCCTACGACACATCTGTAAAGTGGCATGGCCAATTAAAATATCAAATGAACAGCTACTGGAGTGTACCAGCATCCCTCCAGATTAAGAATCGAGCATGGCAATGGATTGGTCATTCATGGAGAAAGCACAAAACAGCATCACTAGAGAGGCATTGGATTGGAATCCACAAGGTCAGAGAAAACAAGGGCGACCATTACACAGTTTGCGGAGAACAAGATTGAAAGAGCTTGAAAACATTGGAAAGACCTAGAATAAGGCAAAAAGAAAAGCGCAAAACAGAGTAAGGAGGATAGTTAGTGTAGTAGCCCTATGTTCCACAAAGAGCGAAGAGGACTAATTATAAGTAAGTTAGTTATGAAAGGACTCAAACACCCATTCATTAATATATATTAACACTCGCAGACGCTTCCCTTTATCCCATCTCACTTTCTTGCTAGAATTAAACATGCCAGCTACTGGTAAAAATAATTAAACGAGAGGCCCATGGGCTTTATAGGTAACCTGAGAATCATGCAACAACTTTCAAATGATAGAATTTGGTTCATGTTTTAAGATAGATGCTACAGCATTTACAATTTTAAAAGAAGCTGGCACCATTGCTAATCATAACTATGAACTTAGTAATTGCTTAGTTTAGTTACTTAGCCTCCTTAATACCCTTAGGCAAGGTAGGGGAACAAAAAATGCATACCAATTAATCAGTAATATTCAGGAATAATCAGAAGTGTCCCTACCACATATGAACCGCTGACCCTAGGTTCACACATTGCACAATTTTTGAAAGGCATACTAGCTTAGCAGAAATGTTTGATTAATACCAAGGAGCAGATTTCAAACAATTCATTTTCAGTATTTAAGTAGAGCCCCCCCCCTATGGTATCCCTGAACAGTAACAGTAACAGTAACTTGATCCGAAGAGTCGTATCACGTCGAGTTGACAGGGGCGGATCCTCAGATCTAACGAGACGCGAAGCGTCGAGTTTGATCTGATGATCCGAGCCTGTCAACGGCTCTTCGGATCAAGTTACTGCTATAATGATAAATGTATTACATGTATATACTCCCTTATAAGTAGCAAAATATAGCAAAATAAACTTTAGATATCAATTGTTTAACTTTTATCCATAAAACAAAGCATAATAACAAGGGACTTCTTGACGCGCAAGAAAAATAACGCCATGTTTCTGCGTACTAAGTCATCAGTTTCAGAGAGTGGTGATATGGATCAGAAAACCACAGTGTGGTGATCCGGAAAGTCGGATCACGACGTCACGTTATAGCTTAAAATCAACAGTAGAATTG